TACCGGTATCCTGTTGATGGTACTCGAACTGGAGTTTCTTATGGCGAGGGTCTATACTCGAGTAAGTGAAACTGGTTTTTCGACACTCTACACTCATTCATTGGGAGAATTATTTTGTGGTCATCAAGTTTGCCTTCAATGTCTAAGATTTATCACGGATTACGGAACCCGGGAAGCAATCACAGAAACTGGCAGTGTCAGTGCAGTTTACACAGCGTGGGTGTGATTAAAGGCGCGACGGAAAGCGGGGGCGGAAAATAGATGAGGCGTTCGGGATTTTGCATTCAAAACACTGATCGCCTAATTGAGAACAATTAATTGCATAGTCTGGATTTTTTTCACAGAAACTGAGAAAACCTGGCCACTTGAGTACAGAAGCTTTCCCAAACCCTGTTTTGTTCCTGAGCTTAGTTGCTCAGGGGGCGGGGTGATTATTCTAATTTTTTGTCCGGTTTTTAAACCGGACTGTTGTGATTAGGCAAATTCTTTAGTTTAACGGTGACTGGTGGATAAGACTAAATGCACAGATGTCGATCAAACTTGTGCAACAACACCCTGACTTTCATTAGACTTGTTCCTTCCAGCGCTTAGTGTTTCGAGCCTCATTCACAAGATCGAATATGCCATTACCTGGCATCAGACACAACATATCTGTACTAATATACACTTATGTTTTTGCTTCTATTAGTCGAAAGCAAAAAAATTGTGGGATTTCTCAATACTGATGACAGTTCCAGGTGCATCAGTTGTAAAATAACGAATCCTGTACAACAGAAGAGTTCGCGATTTCACATATTCACTTTGTCAAACTGGATTTCGATATCTGCTGCTCTCTGTGCTCTATCAGTTAGGAGGGCCTTCTGATGCACACATTGTGATTTGCCTCAGTAGTGAAATCGTTTACACCAGATCACTGATCTTTCAGCTGTGCTGAGGCTACCGGAAGGGTACTGCAATGTAAATTAGGTCCCTTTTTGTTGGTAATTTTGTTTCCGTTAAACACTACTGAATATTAAGTGAATAATGTGGATCAAACCCGGGACTTCACAGCCATAACGTAAGCACGCTACTCACTCGGTCACCGGTTCGCTGATCAGGGCGTTTTTCATTTCCCATTTACACGTTATAGCACAACCCATTTTAGCGAGCTTTTTGCGGACCACAGACCTCGCTCATCTCAATACTAGCCTCCAGGGTTATGACTCGGTTGGAAACTTCCACAAACTGATGACTCGCAAAGTACACTAGTTGTTCCTTTCCCAGTAGTATTCCATCCTGCGTAATATAATAAAATATGATTTTTTTCCGGGAATGAAACAACCTTGCTTTCTATGTTGTCATCCACAGTGGTTTAATTACTGTGGCAGGCATGCTTTTGACCCTATGGTCCGAGGTTAGAACCCCCCTCTACCACTACCTAACTTTGGTGGTAGGCAGCTTTGCTGTCGCCTGATTCAATGCCACGCCTTATGTGATTCGCCACTCCAAATTCCGCGAGGCTTAGGTCAATGAACAGCAGGTCTTCGTGACTATGGGGTTCACCCCGTCTGCTGTTCATCACAAGAAAGTATGTAATAAAAAACCTGTTTTTACATGTGCAATCATACGTAGGCAAGAAAGTGCTTTTATAAATTGGATTTTGACAATGTTAAAATTTTGCTCTCCTTTTAAGAGGGTTCGAATCAACGAAAAAATAAATTAAATGTATCCTCGAAATTATTTTGAAAAATAAGGTTTCATGACCGTAATATAGAACAGAAATGTAACAATACAAATCGAAATTGTTTCATATGACATTATGGCATCAGAGGACCATTTTCCGTATATGTTCCGCTTTTGTGATCGATTAAGTACGTTTCTCTGTAAAGCTTCTAAGATATATCGTTGACAGTCTAAATAAATTCGGTGGTTGATGTATGATTTTGAAGTGTCTTGTTGAATGTCCCTTAATGACAACATTCGATCGGTCATTTGTTAATTGTTTCCCATACCCAGCACTTATTGATTATCCCAAATAATGACTGAAAAATATGTAAAACCAATAGATTTCCGGGGAGGAAAGAAGTAAGTGAAGCCCTCGCGCGACCGATGTCAGATAAAAATGTTAGTCATCAAAGGTCATACGATTTTTACCTGTCTGTGAGTGTCTGTGCAAACCCCGGAACAAGTCGTTGGATCAGCTGCTCTCGCCCAAAACAATGTGTCGTCTCAGACTGATTGTTGTCTGGGCAAACAACAACCATTGGGATTTTTATCAGTCACTCAGTGTTCATACATGTGTAGACATTGTTTTAAAAACATGACTATTCTCAATTGATAAGGATAGCACAATAGACATTAATTTTGGCTGAAAGCTTGTATGTCACTTGCTAAAGCTTGAATACAGTACAATACAATGTTTTCACACAAGGGTATCGCTATCAGAATTAAGCAGCTCTCGATTTCAGAAAGTTTACACAGTTCTAACCAGTCTGCACGCCACTGAAACAACAAATTTTCCGCTCACCTAAAAAGGGAGTGTTGGTATGTAGTCATTTGCATTATAATGCCCACCTGTTTCGTCGTTTTAAGGCATTGTCGTAACCTACAAGTGGCACATTCGTCGCGCTTGCATCTGGCCTGATTAAATGAACAAATGCGTGATTAATTGTTTCATTTATTGACTGATTGTTTGATTGATTGATTAATTGATTGACTGACAGATGCCGTCAGCTAATACACACACTCACACTCACGCCATGTGGATTGACTCTACTGCAATATCGATCAGCTCCAGCCAATCTGATATTAGTATTGAACCGTCCCCGCTAATTGCCTCCTTGATTAATTGAATGCCGGCTTGATGACATACGGATGTTATGTGACGCTTGTGCCAGTTGTCAACTAGCTTGCCTGCCTGCCTGTCTGTCTGTGTTACCCGTTCCTGGTTGCTCATCGCTTCAGTTTAGTTTCAGTTTTTACAACCATTAACCATGTACTTACGTGCGCCGGTTTTGGTTACTGGGTTTTGGTGCCTCATTTGTATGAAAGAGCAGAATGAAGATTGGAATGTTGAAAGCAAATTCAAGCGGAAGATGGAGAATTCATATGCATTGATGGTAAGAGAATAATGAGTAAATGCACGAGAACCACTGTTTGCGACACTCAGCCATATCACTTAGTGTCTCTAACCATCGGTGACTATCATCTCGGGGTCCACAGATAGGGAGTCTAACGGAACCTATGTAACGTAGTCTCCTGGTTAGGGTTTTCATACCCTCATGCCAGGTCTTTGTTTGACCACTCTTGACCGTTTTCCAACCGCTACCTACCGCGGCAAACATCGCCCGCCGTAGCAACCTATTTGATGACATGCGTAACAGATTTCTCAACCATCGTAATCTACGGAGTTGGACCGATTTCTCTAGTGGATTGCCTAAAGCTCTACGCCTAACCTCAGCATTCCTTGTCCGGCTGCCCAAACCAGATTCGTGTAATGAGACGCCGGCAGTGGTGATCGAACACCAACAATCTATTTTTATTCTGTTTCCTTAATTGTCAAGTTTCTACGCCGTATAGCAGAACTGGTCGGACTTCTGCAGCATATATTCCACCCTTCACAGAGAGCCGGATGTCGCAACAGCGCCACAGATGTCTCAAGTTGGCAAATGCCAACCTAGCCTTTTGTATGCGCACCGACACTTCATCTGTAATGCGTCAACCAGGTGAGATATAGCTACCCAGATAGCAAAACTTGACCACTTCCTCTGCTACTTGCTGCTCGATCCACGAACTGCCTACATGTGTGCCCTCTACAATAAACCTACTGAGTACATATCTACCTACTTAAACAGGTACACAACAGATACGAATTTTGATGTCAACCCGAAGGAGTTGCATAGATGTTACACAATTTCATAAAATCAAATTCCCATTTGAAAATGACTGACCTGGCTCGTGATTCGACCAAAAACCTCATCTGAGTATGCATGGAATCCGGTTCATAATGAACATAACAACAGCAATGTACCAAGGAATTGTCTAACATCCGTCACATTCTCCAGAAAGCAGCAAGTACCAAATATCTATATTCCTCGTCTAGTCTCAACCATACAACTGGTGAAATACGTCGCATGATCTGACCTCCACAGCAGAAGGTTGGTATAAATATACACATCGACGGTACGTCTCGCATTTATATGTTGCTGGTAACCCGCGAAGACACGGTATACGCACTCAGTTGCAGATCAATGCATACGAGCACATGCACCCGGACCACGGAAAATGCCGCGTTCCGTTTGTTTTATTTTCGCATAACATTGATGCACGCTAGAGCAAGTGAGTAGTAGTTCAGTAGAACAGAAAAAACAAATTGATGAAGCCGTTTTCAATCCAGATGATGTTCGGTCAGTACTTATGCGGAATATTTAATTGATCACTAATTGTGTTTGGGACATAAAGAAATAAATCTAATTCGATTGTTTTAAAATTTACGATAGCATTAGTTTTATTCGGCTTGGAAGAATAATTTAATTTCAGTT